TCACATACAGGTTCGATCTAAGTGCAGGAAGGGTAAGTCCAGTTTCCTGGATCAAGGAGCACTCGCTGGCATCGAGGGGAGGCCGTATATATATATAGTACTAATAGTGTGTGTCTTGCTCTCAGGAAGGAGCAGGCAAGGCAGAACAGACGTTACTGGCAAGAAGGAAGTGTAACGGAGTGAGTCCCTCGTCCCCAGCTGCGCTCTCAGCCTCCTCACAACATATAGTCGTCGTCCAAGGTAACTTGATGTTTGCTACGTAAAACAACACAAATACAACTTATGCGACAAGAAGATGACCTATTAGTTGCACTTGTGTCCTTTTACCTAACATAATGTCGGTAGTTCTAGCAAAATTATTACAACTTGATCTTTAAGCCCATTATAAGAACATAACATAAGAAAGGAGGACCACTGCAGCAGGCCTGTTGGCCCATACTAGGCAGGTCCTTTACAGTTCATCCCACTAACAAGCATTTGAACATAAGAACATAACATAAGAACGAAGGAACACTGCAGAAGGCCTACTGGCCCATGTGAGGCAGGTCCAAGTCTCCTACCGGCTTAAGCCAATGCACCCAACCTAGTCAGGTCAGGTCACATTGACTTAAGGGAGGAACACGGCAACCGACCTGGTAGCACAAGCTATCAGGTCCAACTCACACCCACCCACATCCACTCATGTATTTATCCAACCTATTTTTAAAGCTACACAACGTTCTGGCCTCTATAACGGTACTTGGGAGTTTGTTCCACTCATCCACAACTCTATTACCAAACCAGTACTTTCCTATATCCTTCCTGAATCTGAATTTTTCCAACTTAAAACCATTGCTGCGAGTCCTGTCTAGGCTAGATATTTTCAGCACACTATTTACATCCCCTTTATTTATTCCTGTCTTCCATTTATACACCTCAATCATATCCCCCCTAGGATATGATTGATATGTACACTTAAGGACATTCATTAAAGGAAGCTCTTCGCCACAAGTGTCTTCAGTCGTTTTAACATTAAATCCTGAACTGTGCACAGGGGTCTTTTTTGTAATGGTCCATGCTAGGCAGGTCCCACTCGCACCCACCCTCCCCCACTCGTTTACTTGTCCAATATAGTAAGCCAATATGTGTTGCTTATTTCTATCATGGTCGTTTTAGTTCATAACAAAAGCATCATTAAAAGCGGGTGATACACAACAAGAGAGAGGAAACTTTTGTTCAACACAACCACGTGGGGGACCTGTGTAAATAGTTATTCACACGGTAACAAATAAAATTCAGTTTATTCTGTTCAAACTCATTCTCACACTTTCACTCTCGTGCAGACGAACTTGTGGATCGTAACTGCGACAAGTGCCGCGAGTGTTGCGTCAACTACCGCGTTTGGCTCAAGTTCCAGAACATGATGCATGTGGTTGTTCACGACGCGGTGTTCGACCTGTTCATCATGTTGTGCATCATCATGAACACCGTCTTCCTGGCCATTGAGCACCACGGCATGTCCTACCAACTCAACAAGGTCCTCGAAGTCGGCAATAGGGTGAGTAATCGGTCTCCGTCCATTTCGGGGATGCGATTTACTAGTCGGGACATCCCTCCTTACATTGGATGACCCACGCGGATTTAGCGCTTAGTGGAACGAAAGTTCACGTTTCACAAAGCGTGTTTCTAAGAATTTGAAAGAGCTACCGGGGTCATTGTGAGCCATTCTTAGGCGGCAGTCATAATGTTTTATGATAGTCTGAAATGTTTGTTTCATTTTCCAATTTGTAAGTTGTGAAATGTTCATCTTGGCTTCACAGGCGTTCATAATGTTCACAGCCTCCCTCACAAGTGTTCATAACGCTCAACAGGTTTACAGGTTTTCAGTAACGTTTAGCAACATTATCAACACCTGTCTTCAACACAGGTGTTGATAGTGTTTAACACACTTGAACTTGCAGGTGTTCAGTAAGGTTCTTCCACACAGGTGTTCACGGCAGTGTTCACCTTGGAGTGCATCATGAAGTTGATGGCCCTGAGCAAGGAGTTCTTCGTGAACAAGTGGAACGTGTTCGACCTGGTGATCGTACTGGCCTCTCTGCTGGACCTGGGTCTGGAGATCGGCTCTGGTCTCTCCGTGCTCAGAGGCATGAGATTGGTCAGTATTCAGAGCTTCATGGGGAAGCTCTAAACCCGTAGCGCTTATTAAGTGACTGTAACAATACTAATTGTGTTTGTAATTTACTATAACAGTGCTCATTGTCGGTGTAATTATCCGTAGTATTACTGTGTATAATTAAGATTTTTATACTGTCGTGATTATGCAGCTGCGGGTGCTGAAGCTGGCGCAGTCTTGGCGGACCATGCGGGTACTACTGAGTATCATCGTCTCCACGCTAGGGGCGCTGGGTAACCTCACTTTCGTCCTCATCATTATCATCTACATCTTCGCCGTCATTGGAATGCAGCTCTTTGGCAAGAACTACACAGCTGCCAACTTCTACCCTGACCCCGTTCCCAGGTGAGTGTGGCTACAAACTTAAAGTAATTAAAGGTGAATAGGTGTGCCCCTGGTGTCCTCTTCATTATTATTATTATTATTAATGTTTTCAAAACATTGTTATTCTCACAAATGCTACGCAAATAACCCGCACATAGAAAAGGAGCTTACGACGACGGTATTGTGCCGTTTTTTTGTTACTCACAAATGCTCTCTAACCTGTGGGTCCTAGTTCAGCCATCAAAACTTTGGGGCCCGGTCCCTGGACCCATTGTGTACCTCCGTAATCTGTAAATATGTAAAGTAAAAGGACACAAGTGCAACTAATGTAACATTTATTGTGGCAACGTTTCGCTCTCCAGGAGCTTTGTCAAGCCATTACAAACAATACATGGACACAGAGGGTATATAAAGGCTCAGAGTGAGGTGTAATACTAGTGAGGTACCATTTCGATGTTCACTAGTGGTAGTAGTAGTAGTAGTAGTATTGGTAGTGACAAAAGTAATACAATATGGTAGAGCAATTAATTCGTACATGAGTAAAAGGATATAAAAGCTATTATATCCTTTTACTCGTGTACGAATTAATTGCTCTACCATATTGTATTACTTTTGTCACTACCACTACTACTATTACTACTACCACTAGTGAACATCGAAATGGTACCTCACTAGTATTACACTTCACTCTGAGCCTTTATATACCCTCTGTGTCCATGTATTGTTTGTAATGGCTTGATAAAGCTCCTGGAGAGCGAAACGTTGCCACAATAAATGTCACATTAGTTGCACTTGTGTCCTTTTACTTTACCTATTGTCGGTAATTCTACCAACTTTATTACAATCTGTAAATAAGAATATAAGAACATAAGAAAGGAGGAACACTGCAGGAGGCCTGTTGGCCCATACTAGGCAGGTCCTTTACAATTCATCCCACTAACAAAACATTTGCCCAACCCAATTTTCAATGCCACCCAAGAAATAAGCTCTGATGTGAAAGTCCCACTCAAATCCAACCCCTCCCACTCATGTACTTATCCAACCTAAATTTGAAACTACCCAAAGTCCCAGCCTCAATAACCCAACTAGGTAGACTGTTCCACTCATCAACTACCCTATTTCCAAACAAATACTTTCCTATGTCCTTTCTAAATCTAAACTTATCTAATTTAAATCCATTACTGCGGGTTCTCTCTTGGAGAGACATCCTCAAGACCTTATTAATATCCCCTTTATTAATACCTATCTTCCACTTATACACTTCGATCAGGTCTCCCCTCATTCCTCGTCTAACAAGTGAATATAACTTAAGAGTCTTCAATCTTTCTTCATAAGGAAGATTTCTAATGCTATGTATTATTTTAGTCATCCTACACTGAATGTTTTCTAACGAATTTATGTCCATTCTGTAATATGGAGACCAGAATTGAGCTGCATAATCTAGGTGAGGCCTTACTAATGATGTATAAAGCTGCAGTATGACCTCTGGACTTCTGTTGCTTACACTTCTTGATATAAATCCCAGTAATCTATTTGCCTTATTACGTACGCTTAGGCATTGCTGTCTTGGTTTAAGGTTGCTGCTCACCATAACCCCCAAGTCCTTTTCGTAATCTGTATGGCTAAGTTCTACAACATTTAACTTATAAGTACTAGGGTTTTGGGCACTCCCAAGCTTCAGAACCTTGCATTTATCTACATTGAACTGCATCTGCCACTTTTCTGACCAAGAATAGAGTTTGTTTAAATCCTCCTGAAGTTCCATAACATCTACGTTTGAATCAATTATCCTACCTATCTTTGTGTCATCGACGAATTTGCTCATATCACTAGTAATTCCCTCATCAAGATCATTGATATATATTATAAACAACAACGGGCCCAAGACTGATCCCTGTGGAACGCCACTTGTTACAGATCCCCACTCGGATTTAACCCCATTTATGGACACACACTGCTTCCTGTCAGTGAGCCATGACTCGATCCACGAGAGCACTTTTCCCCCAATGCCATGAGCTGCCACTTTCTTTAACAGTCTATGGTGCGGAACTCTATCAAAAGCCTTACTAAAATCTAAGTAAATAATATCAAATTCTTTATCGTGGTCAACAGCCTCAAAAGCTTTACTGAAGAAAGTTAATAAATTAGTTAGACAAGACCGGCCTCTTGTGAATCCATGCTGAGTATCATTAATCAAGCTATGCTTATCGAGATGGCTTCTTATAATCTCAGCTATAATTGACTCTAGTAATTTGCCTACAATTGAGGTCAGGCTTATTGGGCGGTAATTTGACGGTAACGACTTTTCCCCTGTTTTAAAAATAGGAATTACATTAGCCATCTTCCACATATCAGACACTACACCTGTTTGAAGAGATAAATTAAAAATATTAGTTAATGGTTCAGAGTTCCATTTTGCATTCCTTAATTAAGAACCCTTGAAAAAACCTCATCAGGACCCGTCGACTTATTTTGCTTGTCTGTCTATCTGCTTCACAACCATTTTACTAGTGACTGATGTTACATAACTTATCTTCTAGCCCACTATAAAAATTAATTACTGGAATATTGTTAGTGTCTTCCTGTGTAAAAACTGAAAGAAAATAATTATTTAAAATCGAGCACATTTCATTCTCTTTGTCAGTAAGGTGCCCATAGTTATTTTTAAGGGGACCTATCTTATCTCTAACTTTTGTTCTATAGACCTGGAAAAAACTTTTTGGGTTAGTTTTAGAATCCCTAGCAACTTTAATTTCATAGTCCCTTTAGCTTTTCTTATCCCCTTTTTAATGTCCCTCTTAATGTCAATATACTGATTCATAAGATGACCCTCACCTCTTTTGATACGCCTATAAATTCCTTTCTTATGCCCTAGTAGATATGTGAGCCTATTATTCATCCATTTTGGGTCATTTTTGTGACTAGACCTACCTGGAGTTCATTACCTTTGTAAATTGTGAATTCATTACCTCTGTAACTTGCTCAGCTATCAAAACTTCGAGGCCCAGTCCCTGGACCCATTATGTACCTCTGTAATCTTCTGACTACCGCCCACAGGATGGGTATGGGGTGCATAATAAACATATTAAACTAAATATTAAACTAACCTGTGGGTCACTGAGCACAACATGGAGAGGTGTTGACGGAGAGGGTAAGGCAGTGTAAGTTAGCGTAATAAATCAGTGTTAGGTGAGAGAGCTTCTGAGATAAGTCAGTGAATGCTTTTCTTTTGTAATGGCTGTTGGTCCATTCATTATTCAGTATACAGAAAGTCAGATTTAACAGGCTTAAGAACAATTTTTTCCTTAAAAAATAATGGTTAGTTATCTCATCCAACTAGATACTTCCAGTGCCTAAAGTCTTGCTGACATAATTTTTCAATTATGGAAGCCAGTTGTCACATTATGAAATTTATTTTAACTTTGGTTGAAATTTGCGGACACCATACCGTGGTTAGTTACCATTTTGTCCTAGGCACATGTCGATTAGACACTAGACCTGTTGTATAAGCGTGTGTGTGTGTGTGTGTGTGTGTGTGCCACTGGCATCATGCGGTCCTATGGATGCTTGTAAATCGCTACCAAGTCTCTCAGGAGTTAATTAGTAGTGAGATGTGAGTAGCAACGCAAGAACAGTTGATAATTATCTTGTTGCTCCCCCTCTCGCTCTGTCCCTCCCAGCCCCTCTCCACATAGCCCTTCTACACTCTTCCATTGTGATGGAATTTTACAGGACAACATAGCTAGCTTATGTTCTTAAGATGCAGTTATCATATAGAACAGGATAGCCATTACTCAAGAAATCGTAATGACACGATTGCAAACAAACCATACCCCTGGCCGGGATTGAACCCGCGGTCATAGTCTCAAAACTCCAGCTCCAGACCGCGGGTTCAATCCCGGCCGGGGGTATGGTAGGATAGCCATTCGCTGTCATGTCCCGACAATGATGTCAATAAGATAGAAAATATTACCCGTACATTGAAAATATACTCATTTTTTTTTAACCAAAAGAATATGCTGCCTATCCTTATCTTCCATCTAATGGGGCGTTGCGTCCAATAAAATGTGTGACGAGGAATAAGGCGGAGAGGCAAGAGAAAAATATTTTGTTAGGAAGTGAGGTGATAGCTTACAGAAGGTGACAGCTCAAAGTGCACTATAGGAGTCCTACTGGTTCACAGTAACAATAACATTGGAAACAGTGTTTCCAATGTAACAGGACATTGCACCTATGTTAAACCTCTAGTTAGGTTAACAGTCAGATAATGTCCAGCTCATAAGATAAAAACTAGTGCATAGGTAAGTCTATATTAAACTTCAGACTGTCAAATTAAAAAAAACGTGAAGACTGGAGGAACACTGAAGAAGGCCCACCGGCCCACTCAATAAAGGTGACTCCAACAAACGGATATTAGTCCAACTTACGTATAAAGTTAAAACAAATTGTTCATTTGACAAACAGTCTGAATTTTTGTGAAAAAAATATTTTCACCTTTTAGTGTGTGAACAATATTCTGTACTTTAAAACTGTCGAGTTTGTACATGCCAGAACTCAAATTTGAAACATGTTCTGCATCATACTTAACAATAGAAGATTCCACAATATTTCGCTGACCTATTAAATTACATGGAAATAATTCATCAGCACCAGTCCTGTATATATTCCATTTTTTTAGTAATGAATGCCAATTTTTAAGTTAATTTCAAATGGTAAGAGTTAATTTTAATTAGTATTTGTTTAATTTTTTATGTATATGCCTAATGTAATATTTTTATAAAATTGCCTATAATGTATTAAAATGCAAATTAAACCATGATGAAAATTTGAAGTAAAAATAAAGAATAACTAAGGTACATTATGAAGCTGCGTTTGTGTATTTATACGTAAATATAAATGAATGGAGACAAATGGTTTTTAATACTTGACGTGCTGTTGGAGTGTGAGCAAAGTAACATTTATGAAGGGGTTCAGGGAAACCGGCAGGCCGGACTTGAGTCCTGGAGATGGGAAGTACAGTG